TGCATCGTTCATATAGACGCATTCAAATTTCATTTTCTTATTCATTGTATATATATATATATTTTTCAGAATACTTCTGTGCAAAAGTCAAACCTTGTAATTAATTGCCAGCTTATTCGTATTTGGCTTCATTGTCCAGATATAAGTAGCAGGAACACACCAAGCGTAGTGGATGATTATATCATTCATTCAAATTTACTCATCACAGATATAATTAATATAAACATTTCTACTGTCAATGCACTTCAAAATGATTCACTTTTTTCATCAAGTTTTGGAATACAACATAACGAAACAGTTAGAAACATAGTTGATCCGCAACAAAATAGAATTAAAATTGAGTGTAATGGCATTAATGTCTTTATTAAAGAACACAAAGGTAGGTATAAAAATTTTATGCTTGTATGCAAAAATTTTTACCGGTTAATCCTTTAAATATAATTTTTTGTAAATATAGTGCCAGATGCGAAGTGCTTCCTTGCAGTAAAGGCTGTAAAAGTGCCACCAATATATCATCGATCTATAACACAGGTTGCTACTGTGTTTCCTAATTGCGAAATTACATATCGTCCTGCTAGTGCAGTAGCAAACAAAATGTCATATATAGGGAATGGTATTCGATCTTCACCTTTCTCACAAACATTTACTACATTTGAGGAGGAACGGACGAATTGGCCCGTTGAAAACGAAGAAGAAGAAATTTTAATGTTTAAACAGAGAACGATTGAAAGCTCAGTAAGCACATTTATTTCATCGATAATCATCCTTTAAAACTTCGATTCAATATATATATATATATTTATAAAACTCTATATGTAGCTTTTTGTCATCAATTGTAATTTTCCTCTTATACGCGTTCGTCTAAATAAGTCAATGTATGACAAACTTCAAATTCTGTTAAATGATTTATCAATTTGGCAACCTAAAAATAATGGTCCGGGCAACAATGAAATTTCATCCACACCACCACCAACACGTACAAATATGGTTGGTGGATACGATGCG